GTTGGAGGTCGTGCCGCATGTCGTTGAACTCAGCTCGTCGAGATCTTTCTATTGACACCGGTGGTGTCAAAAATGGAGGTCGGAATCTTAACTTGAGTATTTGGCCATTGATGGTTTGTGTGAGAGAGAACGTGAGAGGAGAGAGAGAATGAGCGAGAATAAGAGAAAGAAAGTGTAAGAACCCTAAAAATTTCACTATATAAAGTATCTGATTAAGGTAAGATTACGTGCCTGATCTTATCCTCAATTATTTCTTCTAAACAGATTAAATTTATACTGATTAGAGGTAATTAGTTTAGCTCACGTAAGTTAATCTACTACTTACAGTCCAATATTAATTTCTGAATAATTCAATATTGTTTTATATTCTTACTCGCGTAATATTTCAAACTGTTTCAAGTCTTGAAATTAATTTTAGACTGAACAAATTCTAAATTTTAATTTTCTGTATTCTATCCCGAGAATGACGTTTCTGACAGTGTCAACTCCCGAGCTCATATTGTATCCATCTACTATAGGTATTTATCTTGTGACTTTAACCTAACTGTTTGGCAATTAAGGATTTTTTTCTTCTTTTAAAATGTCAGTGCGTTTTTTTTATATGCCGCTAACATCGTGCTGTGCTTAGAGATTCTTGAAATTAAGATTCTCAAACTATACTTGTACTGAAAATTATTCTGCCTTAAAATACGGCGAGAATTTATCGATCGAATTTACTTGATCGAAACATGAACTTAACATGAAATTTGCTATAGAATTTAGGAATACATATATTAATTCCATAAATCCTCCATTCACAATATAACATAATATTTTCTAAGAAAATCCTTGGCTTAAAAATACATGAATTGTATTATTTAAGGTCTGAAATTTTCTCAGTCATTACATTGTTAGTTTTTATGTGTGTTTTTGTTCTTTTTTTGAAGGTTAGGTGAAAGTCTATGATTTGGAAGGTTTTGGATAACTTTTTGTGGAAAAAGACAGCAAACATAGCGCTTAGGCGCCAATTTGTAGCGTTGTGGCGCTTAGTTTTATGGAACCATGACATTTGGGCCGAATAGGTAGCGTTTTGGCGCCCATGATAGCGTTTTGGCGCCCATGATTCTGTACAGGCAGCGCTAGGAACTCAACGCCGCAGCGCTACGACGCGAGAAAAGACGCGTTTTGAAGGCCAATCGTGAGAAAACTTACCCGTTTTAACCCTAATGCTTGAAAACATATAAATAGATGATTCTAGGGCAATTAAAAGGAGCTTTTGGACTAGAGAGTGACGGCTGGCCTTTGAGAGGAGATTCAAGAAGAAAAAGGAGAATTGAGTACGGAGAAGAAGAACAGCAAAAATCCAGAGACGGAGATGCTTCAATTCAACTCCAAACTAGTTCTTTCTTTCCTTTCCAATGATTAAGACTTTGTTTATGAATTTATTTTGTTTAGAGATGAACTAATTTCTTTTTCTAGGGCTACGATGTAGCCGGATTATAAATGTTCAAATTCTCAATCTTCTTTTTAAGTAATTGATGTTTAATCCATATATGCTGAGTATTTCAATTTATTCTTAATGCTTGTGATTGTTTGGCCAACTATTACATGATTCTGTATTTGATTTGAGACTAGGAGGTGATAATTAAATAAGCTCTTAATTGAAATACCATGAGTTGTTCATAGGATATAGATATCTATGATGCTTGTGCAGTTCTTTTGAATTTCTTGCACTTAATAATTTTCAACAGGTTTAGAAGTCTGCCAGAGATGTAGATTTTACTTGTTGGATTAATATTATTGTTGCTTGAGAAAGAATAATAATTGCTTTAGAGAAATTGCTGTCAGTATATGATTGAATGTTAATTTTCTTGAATTATGGGAATTTGAACATGATTAATTTTGGTGAAATCGGAAACCCTAGAGTCTTAATCTATTGAATTTTCTTCCATTGCTTAGCATTGTTTAATTTATTTAATTGTTTTAGTTTTGCTTTACTTAATTTTATAAACTCTCTTTTCAAGTATTCAAATAAAATTGGGGTTAATACAATTTTGGTAATTAGTAAACAACAATCATCGTGGGACGATATTCTTATTCACTATTATATTACTTAATTGCGATAGCGTATACTTGCGTTACGATTTTTCACAACAAGTTTTTATCGCCGTTGTCGGGGATTGTTTTGTTTTTGCTAATATCGATACCAAATAACTCTAGTTTTACTTTGGATTTTATTTTCTTATTTATTTTCTTATTCTTGTTTTGTGTTCTACAAGGATTTACTCAACGTGCATGCGAAAGTTTGGGAGTAGTATTCTATTTCCTCTTGACTCAGAAATTGAGCGTACTTGTCGAAGAAATAGAAAAGAGAAGAGACAAACTGTCATTCAGTCGCAAGAAACTATGGTTGATCTTGAAAGGGCAATAAATGAGAACAACAACAATAATATACCACTGAACAATCCACTGGTGGTCAATCAGCCAATGGCTTTGTGAGATTATGCATTGCCACCAACCGGGGTTCAATCAGTGATCAGGAGGCCTGCTATTCAGGCGAATAATTTTGAATTGAAGCCGGTGATGTTGCAGATGATTCAAGCGATCCAATTTAATGGATTGCCTAATGAAGATCCTAATGCTCACATCATAAATTTTCTGGAGATTTGCGATACTGTTAAATACAATGGAGTTAATGATGAAGCTCTTTGCCTTCGTTTGTTTCATTTCTCTTTGAGAGATAAAGTAAAAAGTTGGTTGAACTCACTGCCGCCAAGACTTAGTTCAGAAGTTCCTTTCGAAGTTTTTCCCACCGGCTAAAACAGTGAAGATGCGCATCGAGATCAACAATTTTGCTCAATATGAAGGTGAAACTCTATATGAAGCATGGGAGAGATACAAGGAAATACTGAGAAGATGTCCTCATCATGGTCTACCTAAATGGATGCAAGTCCATAATTTCTATAATGGGTTGAGCGGCACTACAAGAACTCTGATTGATGCATCTGCAGGAGGAGCTTTAATGAAGAAAACCGAAGATGAAGCATATGAGTTGCTAGAAGATATGGCAACCAATAATTACCAGTGGCCTAGTGAAAGAAGCATACCAAAGAAGATAGCCGGAATACATGAGATAGATGCCATCACTAAACTCACGGCCCAAATTGCTTCTCTTTCCAAACAATTGCAAAATAATCATCTGACAGCCAATGCCATCCAAGCATCATCTCTAGTTTGTGAATTTTGTAATGGGCCTCATCAAGGTTCTAAATGTCAAGCTGACAACCCTTTTGCACAGGTACAAATGGAGTAGGCTCAATATGTGGGAAATTTTAATAGGCAATAGAACAATCCTTACTCCAACAGGTTTAATCAAGGATGGCGTAATCACCCAAACTTGTCTTGCAAAAACACTTAAAATGTGTTGCAGCCCGAATAAAGCAACCCACCACAAGAGGAGAAGGTGAATCTGGAAGATGCAATGGCTCAATTGGCTACCTCTCACATGCAATTTATGAATGAAACAAGGATAAATTTCCAGAATCAATCGGCTCAGATCAGAAGCTTAGAGGTGTAAATTGGTCAATTGGCTAACATGTTAAATGATCATCAACAAGGTAATTTGCCAAGTACAATGGTGGTGAATCCAATAGAGCAATGCAAGGCCATTACTTTGAGAAGTGGGAAATAATTAAATACACTCCCAGAGCCTAAGAAGTCTAGCAAAAGTAGTGAAGAGGCTTCGTCACCCAAAGATACTCAATCTTTGGAGAAGAGTGGTGAAATTCCTACAGCTTAACAACCTTTGCCGGTGGAGCTATCACGAAGGATCCCGTTTCCTCAACGCCTTCGGAAGAGTAAGCTTGATAAACAATTTCCAAAGTTTCTAGACATCTTTAAGAAATTGCACATAAACATCCCATTCGCCGAAGCTCTTGAACAAATACCGAGCTATGTGAAGTTTATGAAAGACATCCTGTTAAACAAGATGAAACTTGAGGATTATGAAACAGTTGCACTTACTGAAGAGTGCAGTGCCATCTTGCAAAGGAAGTTGCCTCAGAAGCTCAAAGATCCAGGGAGTTTTACCATCCCTTGTTCTATTGGAAATTCTATTTTTGAAAAGGCACTATGCGATTTAGGTGCAAGCATTAACTTAATGCCTTTGTCAATTTTCAAGAAACTTGGGCTAGGAGAAGCAAGCACAACTACGGTCTCATTACAATTGGCCGATCGCTCCATCAAACACCCGAGAGGAATTATTGAAGATGTACTCATCGAGGTTGATAAGTTTATATTTCCGGCCGATTTTATTGTCTTGGATATAGAAGAAGACGAGGAAATTCCCATTATTGGGAGACCATTTTTGGCAACCGGTTGGGCTCTCATTGATATACAAAAGGGTGAACTTCGCCTAAGAGTACAAGAGGAGGATTCAATGTATTTAGTGATAGTTGTTTTCGAATTGAAACGATTAACACCTTGGTAACTGAGCATCTTCGCCAACCTCAAGAGCCTTTGGAAGCTTGTCTAATTTATCCGGAAACTATTGCAATAGAAGATCATGAAGCTATGGAGTTTATGCACTGGATGGATTCTTTTGGACCTAACAATCGGAGGTACTTTGCAGTTTTGGGACGAGGCCCATCACGCCCTCTTCCATCAAGTGAGAAACCACATACGCTTATTGAGATGGATGAGTTCCGTAATGATGCATATGAGAAAGCCAAGATTTATAAGGAGCGAACTAAGGCTTGGCATGACAAACAAATGTCAAGAAAAGAGTTCAAGCCGGGCCAACAAGTGTTGCTCTATAATTCAAGATTGCACTTATTTCTAGGAAAACTTAAATCCAGATGGTCAGGGCCATTCACCGTGGTGAGAGTATTTCCCTATGGAGTAGTTGAAGTCACTCATGATGCGAAGGGAACATTCAAGGTCAACGGGCAACGTTTGAAGCCATATATTAATGGTGGATTTGATCAAAAGAAGACCACCATTCTCCTAAACTCACCATAAGAAGCAAGACGTCGGGCTGATGACGTTCAACTAAGCGCTTCTCGGGAGGCAACCTGAGCCTTCTAAAATCTTTTATTTATTATTATGATTATTTATTTTATTTTTAGTTTACTTATTGTGTTTTAAATTGATTGATAGGTTAATAAACAAGTTTGGGGGTTGCTCTAAGGATTTACAATAGAAATGAAGCTCAAGCAGGCATGAAAGCATGAATTTGGCAGCAGCAGTAGCGTTTAGGCACTCATCTGAGTGCTTTGGCACTAAAAATAGAGCCTTTAGGGCAAAAGTGACAGAGCATATAGCGCTTTGGCGCTACCATAGAGCGCCTTGGCGCTGCCTCCACAAAAAAAAAAAAAAAAAAAACCTTGCGACTTCTGCATCTCCTCTTGCACCCACTGAAGACACTGACTGACAACTACTCAAGGAAGTCCTCTACACTCTTGTTTTACTTTTCCATTGAGGACAATGTTAGTTTTAAGTTTGGGGGAGTTAACTATCTTATTTTATGTGATTTTATTCACACAAAAAAAAACTTGAGCTTTGGTTCGGCTTGTTTCGCCTCGGCCGATGATGAGACAACAATTGAACTTAACTATGGCTTCTGGGAGACAATGAATAATTTGATTGTTTAGGTGCTTGACTTGTTTGTTGGTTTTGCTCTACTTATGATTTTCTTGCATTGTTGAGCACATAACTAAGAGCACTTGGCCATTTTGTGAACTTAGAGAAAGTTTAAGTGAATTTCATGTTTCTTAAGATCTCACCGGACTCTAGAACTTGTTTGATTATCACTCGAGGCGAAATCTCATGCAATTTCTCACTAAGGAAATGATTTAGGCCATTTTTGGATCGTTTGAGCCATTTGAACTTACCCTGTTATAATAATATCCATAGTCACCTCTTTGAGCATGATTAAACTTTTCTTTGTCATCCACATTATTAGCTTAGCCTTTAAATAAATCCTATCATTCACCCTTTTCCCTTAAGCTTGTTGATTATTCTAGGATGCACGTTGAGTTGTGTTTGGAATTGGGAGGTGTATTGATATTTTTTATATTTTGTTTGATGTCTCCAATGAAATTCTGTATCTGTCGTATTAATCCAAAACAAAAAAACAAAAAAAAGGAAATAAAGAGTGGAGACAAGAATGCTGATGGCAAATGACGGATGTATTGGGATATTGAGTTAAGAGTTTTATAAGAGGATCCTAGAGTAATTGATGAGTTAGGAAATCTAAAGCCTCATTGATATCCTTTTATCCTACCTTAATCCCTAGCCATTCAATCCAAGCTTAATAAAGTCCTATTAATCCTTGGTGGTTTGTTGACCGACATTAGTGGAGAGTGATAAGACAAGCAAGCCTATGGAGTCTAAAAAATACTCTTCACTTAGAGATCTACCTCGATTCACTTAATTGCATAAACCCATATGATTTGCATTTGGGTATGTGTAATTGATAATTCACACACACACATAAGGAGTCTTAGGTGGGGGTGAGATTAGCATTCGAGTTGAAATTCTAAACTTTCGAAAAGTTTAAAGTCTTTCTTGAGCTGTAATTTATGTGAGATGTATGAGGTAATTTTTGTGAAACAACGCCGAATCAATACTCAAGCAAGGTTTCTTTTATTTATGTTTCATATTACTCGTATTTTTACTTTTTGTTTTTTTTTTTTTTTAGTTTTCTTTCTTTCATTTTTGTTTTGCTCGAGGACTAGCAAAATATTAAGTTTGGGGGTATTTGATGAGTGATTTTTACTCGCTCATTTAGTATCATTTTATACTTAATATCTAGTTAGTTTTTGAGGTTTTTGTTAGTTTTTATGTGTGTTTTCATTCTTTGTTTGAAGGTTAGGTGAAAGTCTATGATTTGGAAGGTTTTGGACAACTTTTTGTGGAAAAAGACAGCAAACATAGCGCTTAGGCACCAATTTGTAGCGTTGTGGCGCTCAGTTTTACGAAACCATGACATTTGGGCAGAATAGGTAGCGTTTTGGCACCCATGATAGCGTTTTGGCGCCCATGATTCTGTACAAGCAGCGCCGTAGCACTAGGAACTCAGCGCTGCGGCGTTACGACGCAAGAAAAGACGCGTTTTGAAGGCCAATCGTGAGAAAACTTACCCGTTTTGACCCTAATGATTGAAAACATATAAATAGATGATTCTAGGGCAATTAAAAGGAGCTTTTGGACTAGAGAGTGAGCTGGCCTTTGAGAGGAGATTCAAGAAGAAAAAAGAGAATTGAGTACGGAGAAGAAGAACGGCAAAAATCCGGAGACGGAGATATTTCAATTCAACTCCAAACTAGTTCTTTTTTTTCCTTTCTAATGATTAAGACTTTGTTTATGAATTTATTTTGTTTAGAGATGAACTAATTTCTTTTTCTTGGGCTATGATATAGCCGGATTATGAATGTTCAAATTCTCAATCTTCTTTTTAAGTAATTGATGTTTAATCCATATATGCTGAGTATTTCAATTTATTCTTAATGCTTGTGATTGTTTGGCCAACTATTACATGATTTTGTATTTGATTTGAGACTGAGAGGTGATAATTAAATAAGCTCTTAATTGAAATACCATGAGTTGTTCATAGGATAGAGATATCTATGATGCTTGTGCAGTTCTTTTGAATTTCTTGCACTTAATGATTTTCAACAGGTTTAGAAGTCTGACAGAGATGTAGCTTTTGGTTGTTGGATTAATATTATTGTTGCTTGAGAAAGAATAATAATTGCTTTAGAGAAATTGCTGTCAGTATAGGATTGAATGTTAATTTTCTCGAATTATGAGAATTTGAACATGATTAATTTTGGTGAAATCAGAAACCCTAGAGTCTTAATCTATTGAATTTTCTTCTATTGCTTAGCATTGTTTAATTTATTTAATTATTTTAGTTTTGCGTTACTTAATTTTATAAACTCTCTTTTCAAGCATTCAAATAAAATTGGGATTAATACAATTTCAGTAATTAGTAAACAACAATTCTCATGGGACGATATTCTTATTCACTATTATATTACTTGATTGTGATAGCGTATACTTGCGTTACGATTTTTCACAACACCGGTGGCGGGCATAATTTAACAAATTATTATCTAAAATCTAACAAATTATTATCTGTAATTTAACAGATTATTATCAAATGGTAGCCTATCAAAAAAAAAAAAATAGAACTCTAGAAGGATGTGCTTAAGGGTCAGTTTTTACAATTTTTTTCGTTTTTCTCACTTTGAAAGCTCTGTGTGAATCATAAAAATGTGTTCTTTGAACTTTTAAGTTTGTGATGATTTGGTCCCCAAATCAATTTTATAATAAAAATCTCCCTGAATCAAATTTTAATAGCAGCATCAGTCCTCTCCGTCATCATCTGCACGCTCTCTTGGCTCCTTTATTTATTTATTTATTTTTTTCCTCGGGAGGCTCTTATAGCATTTTTCACATGAAAAAAACTAGTGAAACCATGTACTCTGTTTGCTAGACAATGCTTTTCCCTTTCAGGCTATTTAAAAACATTACTTCATACAACTTTGAATGGGAACTCACAATTTGGACCAACATCCACTGCACTGCAAAATGTAATAAATTTAGAAACGTGGCGATTACAACTTGAAAATAGTAGGTAGGACATTACAAATTATTTGCTATAAGAAAACACCAATTCTGCAGCACACTTGAAGGAAAAACACAACTGCAATAATCACTCTTTTGGCCCTAATTGCATATTCAGGAAACTGTCTCCAATATAACTTGAACTCTTCTCTAAGACGGAAGCAATGGTGCTTTTGATTCATAACACGCCGCAAATCATGAACAATTATGGAAAGTGCAACATAAAATTAGATTAGTTTATATTAACAGTGAAATGTGTAAACAACTTTGTCCAAACTTTTGAGAGAGAAAAAGTAGTTACTTTCTAGCTTTTGATCATTCCCAGTAGGCTGGCCTTGTGTATTGTTGCCTTTACACAAACCCAATCTCCTACATCGCTTAAGAGCTTGAAATATGCGTATCTGATAGATTTGTTGAGGATCAGTGCACCACAGACTCCCCAAAATGCAAGTATGAAACCAAGTGCCATACTGATGTAAAATCCCCTGGTTAAAACCTCATCAACTTCTTCATGAGCTCCAGAAACAATGCTTTCATGTTCTTCATCTAGACATTTCTTCGGAAGCGGGTCTCCACAGAGCTCAGCATTCCCCATGTATGCACTGGAGTTGAGTGCCTATTGGAATCCTTCCAGACAAATTGTTGTTTGACAAGTCCAATGCATTTAGGCGATCTATGTCAGCGAGGCTTTGCCGAATTTCACCAACAAGATGGTTCCATGATAAATCAAGAGCTTCTAAAGATGTCAGGTGACCAATCTCTGAAGGGATTTGTCTACATAGACTGTTTCTTGATAAGTTTAGAGAAACCAAACCAATAAGTTGGGTGATTTCTCTTGGAATTTCTCCAATCAACCTGTTGCTTGACAGATCTATGTTTCCCAAAAAATAAAGTGTGCTCTTGAGTTCACTCATTTTTCCCTTCCACATTACGTGTTCTTTGACTTCATAATAACGGTAATCAATGGTTGATCTTGTCATTGCAGCAGAAATCCTGATACATTTTTGTTTAAGGACTAGTCCAGTAGTTGAAGATTTGACAAATGACATATACTCGATGGAATGCTCCCAGAGAAGTGATTGGATCGCAAGCTAAGAATGGTAAGCTTTTGCAAACTGTTTCCAATCCACGGCGGAATCAAACCCGACAATTTATTCCCTCCAACATCAATTACTATCAAATTTGTGCAGTTCTTCAAGGTTGTAGGTAATTCCCTACTAAAATAAGTGTTTGATAGTTGTAATACCCTCATTGTGGTCAAGGAACCAAGGAAGGATGAGATTTTTCCCGATAAGTTATTATTTGACAAAATAAGACTTCCTAAGCTTTGAAACTGCGACCAACAGTCAGGAACCTCCAACAATTTATTATACGAAACATCGAGATATCCCAAATTAGCAAGCCCTGTGACGTTACGTCTGAAATTTAGCTTTGAAAATCTATTCCAGGAAATATATAGGACAACTGCTTTGAACAAAAAAGAAGGCACCAGCCCTTCTAATTGATTTGAACTCAAATCAATGTCCCAAAAATTATTTTGAATCTCAAATGAACATGTTTCCAAATTCTTCTTTGATTCTGTTGTTTGAAAGATTCAAACATCTAATGCCATCACAACTAGTAAAACCTGCTAAAGAATCCCAAAACCATTTGCCAATAGTATAAGAGATTTGAGAACTAGAAATATCAAGTTTATAATAGTTCTTTTGAGTTTGAAGCCGTTTTGGGAACAGAGGGCCCAACTTGCAAGACGCAAGGAGTATGGATTGCAACTGAAATGGAGGAAGCCAATCATAATGGATGTCCAAAGTTAATGAGTTGAAAGATAGGTCCAAATAATATATAAGTGCAAAACATTTGAAAAGCCAGCTTCAGAAATGACACCTCCAAAAGAGTTTCTAGAAATATCGAAAATTTCTAGTTGTTTCAATCGTTGGAAGGCAGTTTGAGGGATATCACCACTAAGATTATTTGAACCCATTCTCAATGTACGTAACTTACTCTGGTTCCAAATGGATGTCGGGATTTGACCTTGCAGCATATTATGGCCAAGATCAAGGTACTCAAGGGCACTCATGTTCTCAATTTGGATCAACATATACTTCACTGCAAAATCTAATAAATTTAAAAAGGTGTTGATTACAACTTGAAAATAGTAGGCAAAATCACAAATAACATTACAATTTATTTGCTATAAACACCAATTCAGCAGCACACTTGAAGGAAGAACACAGCTGCAACAATCACACTCTTTTGGCTCCAATTGCATCTTCATACAAGAAACTGTCTCCCATATAACTTGTAGTCTTCTCTTGGACACATGCGATAGCGCTTTTGAGTCGTACTGTGGCGCAAATCAAGAAAAATTATCGAAAACGCAACACAAAATTAGATTAGTATATATTAAAAGTGATACAAGTAAACAACTTTGTGAAAACTTTTTAGAGAGAAAAAGTAGTTACCTTTTAGCTTTTGATCATTCTCAGTAGTTTGGCCTTGTGTACTGCTGCCATTACGTAAACCCAATCTCCGGCATCATTTAAGAGCTTGAAATATCCATATCTGAGAGATTTGTTGAAGATTAATGTACCACAGACTCCCCAGAATGCAATTATGAATCCAAGTGCCATACTAATGTAAAATCCCCTCGTTAAGAGCTCATCATCAGCTTCTTCATCAACAGCTCCAGAATCAGTCCTTTCAAGTTCTTCATCTTGACATTTCGTTGGAAGTGGGTCTCCACATAGCTCAGCATTCCCCATGTATGCATTGGGAAAGCTCTGGAGTTGAGTGCTTGTTGGAATCTTTCCAGACAAATTGTTGTTTGACAAGTCCAACGCATTTAGGCGGTCTATATGAGTGAGGCTCGGCGGAATTTGACCAACAAGGTGGTTCCTTGATAAATCAAGAGAATCTAAAGATGCCAACTGACCAATCTCCGAAGGGATTTGTCCACTTAAACTGTTTCTTGACAAGTTCAGAGACACCAATCCAACAACCTGAGTGATTTCACTCGGAATTTCTCCAATCAGCCTATTGCTTGACAGATCTATGCTTTTCAAAAAATCAAGAGTGCTAACAAGCTCAGTCAGTTTTCCCTTCCATTCTATTTGTACTTTGACTTTATTGTAACTATCGCGACCCTTTATATACGTTCCATATATCAGAGACCCAGGGAGATCAACAGTTCGTCTTGTCATTGCAGCTAAACTATTGATACATTTTGGTATTCTTCCTGTTATATCATTTGAAGACAAGTCCAGCAGTTGTAGATTTGAAAAATGACATATACTTGATGGAATGCTCCCAGAGAAGTTATTGGATCGCAAGTTAAGAATGGTAAGCTGTGGAAAACTGTTTTCCGTCCATGACGGGATTAGCCCCGATAATTTATTCCCTCCAACATCAATAACTATCAAATTTGTGCAGTTCTTCAAGGTTGTAGGTAATTCCCCATTAAAATTATTGTCTGTTAATTGTAATATGCCCAATGCGGTTAAGGAACCAATGGAGGATGGGATTTTTCCTGATAAGTTGTTATCTGTCAAAATCAGAGTTTCTAAGCTTTCAAACTGCGACCAACAATCAGGAAGCTCCCCAAACAATTGATTATATGACACATCCAGAAATCCCAAATTAGCAAACCCTGTGTCGTTACATCTAAAATCTAGCTTCGAAAATCTATTCCGGGAAATATATAGAGCAACCACATTGAGCAAAAAAGATGGCACCGGACCTTCTAACTGATTCGAACTCAAATCAATCTGCCAACTATAATTTTCAATCTCTAATGAAATGTTTCCGAATTCTCCTTTGATTTCATTGTTCGAAAGGTTTAAATAACTAGTATCATCCCAAATAATATCACCTGATAAAGGATCCCATAACCAATTGGGAATGGTATCCGAAATACCAGAATTAGAAATATCAAGTTGATAATAGTTCTTTTGAGTTTGAAGCCATTTTGGGAACAGAGGGCCCAACTTGCAGGATGCAAGCAGTATGTAATCCAACTGAAATGGAGGAACCCAATCAGGATGGATGTCCAAAGTTAATGAGTTGAAAGACAGATCCAAATATGTTAATTGAGAAAGATTTGAAAAACCAGCTTCAGAAATAACACCTCCGAGAGAGTTTCTAGAAATGTCTAAAATTTCTAGTTGTTTAAATTGTTGGAAAGCGGTTTGAGGGATATCACCACTAAGATTATTTGAACCCATTCTCAATGTACGTAACTTACTCCGGTTCCAAATGGAAGTTGGGATTTGACCATGCAGCAAATTATGGCCAAGATCAAGGTACTCAAGGGCACTCATGTTGTAAAAAATTTCCGGTATAGAGTCACTTAAGTCATTGAAACTTAGACCGAGGTATGTGAGGCCTACCATCTTGCCAAAAGATTCTGGTATAGATCCTTTTAACATGTTGTAGCGGAGATCGAGGTATGTCAGGTCTACCATCTTGCCAAGGGCTTCAGGAAAAGAACCTTCTAACCGGTTCTCTGAGAGATCGAGATGAACGAGGCTATTAAGGTTCAACAACCATGGGTATATAGAAGTAGAAAGACGATTCCACCGAAGATCAAGGAAAGCGACAGATCTCGAAGAATTGACAAAGGAAATAGATGAAGGATTGTTGCTGCTGATATTTGGAAGATGACAAGAATGTAACTGCAAGGTTGTTAGGCTAGAAAGTTGGCTAACTCTCTGCATCCAATCGCTCGCTGTGCTCAAGTTGGTACTAGACAAAACAAGGATTCTTAAAGAAGAAAGGTGAGAAGCACTTTCAAGGATTTTGGTTGTAACTAAATCATTATTGTCGCTAAGATCAAGAACCTCCAAGCTCGAAAGATTCGCAAACTGAGGAGGAATTTCTCCCATAAAAGAAGTAGAAGAGAGATTGAGGTATCTTAACTGGCTAAGACTACCTATAGAACTTGGGATGTGGTCTCTCCTACTGAAGCCAATGACACTGAGGTCCAAATAAGTCAGGTTTCGCAACTCAAACAATGAAGGACTGATCTTACCTTTCAAGTTATAATAACTCGTGCCAAAAGTCGACGGAGAAAGATCAAGGCTGATCACGTTACCGGACTTGTTGGAACATCGAATCCCGAGCCACTTGCAGCAGTCTCTTCTTTCCTCTTCATTTCCCCAAGAAGAAAGAAGATCATCAATGTCCTTCCGCGTTCCTTGAAGATCCTTCTTAATGTTGAGGAGTGCTTTCCTCTCCGCTTCCATGCATCTGATCTTTGGCTCTCCAGCTCTTGCTGATGTTGAAGTGTTGGATCCATGGGTACACACCAGGCAAACCGAAAGAACTAGAAACACCACAATCAATCTACCCATCACTGCAAATGAGCAGATTAAGAAGTTTTGATGAAAGGATTTCAAAAGTTTTTTTTTTTTTTTTTTTTGGCTGGCTGATAATTTGCTGCCCACCATTCTGTATTGCAGTTCTATTTATACATAGACCCGTTTTTATTTAGTATCTAATTTTTAGTAATTAGTAGTTATGTGATATTGAAAAGTTTTACATATGCATAACAATTTACTCCCCTCGTGTCTCCACTTCTGAATTTTAAATTAGTAATATACTTTTTTTCCACCCATTTATGGCAAATGATAAATTACATCTCAACGGGAAATCATGAAAATTTTCAATCATGTATTACCTTTCATTTTAGAAGCACCTCGACTTCTATGGGCCAATTTATATAATTATGTTTCTTTTTTCTTCTTTTTTTTTTTTTTTGCTCCCAATATGTTTGTAGTTAATTAGTTTACAATATGCAAAATATTGCAATTTTGTGATATAATGATCATTGTCGTAATCAACGGAATCGAACTACAAAAACTCTCAACGAACATGAGCATAAACAATATTGTAATTTTATGATAATGAAATATGATTAAAATTTTAAAAAGGTTGGCAACGTCTATAGACAGTATACAAATGTTTCATTATAATTGAAGATTGTTTTATGATAATGGCCAATGACCATATCATGATATCGTGTTATAATAAAAGGGTAAAGCGGATTCCACAAACGACTAATTTCGAAAAGTAGAAAATATCAAAATATTATATATAAAAAAAATAGACAATTTTAAAATGGAGTTTTTTAAAGGGAGATTCTCTTGTACGCTGATGTACTGGTACGTCAGATTTTTTTAATTATTAAATTTATATATTTTTTAATTTTTACATGATTTTATATATATCTAACAATTAAAAAACCTGACGTATCTGTATATTAATGTCCTTTTTTTAAATAGACAATTTATTTCCATTGGCCAAATAACTTGAGTTTTCAATTAATTTTAGTTTTCAACTTGAATTTAAAAGTAAATTTATATTTGAGAAAATATTATATTAAAACAAATTTAAATTTAAATTTTTGTAAAAAAATATTATAACAAAAAAATTTAAGCAGTGATTTGAACCAAAAACGAAGCATCTGTCTCTACAGTATCTAGACTTTAAGGGGTTGTTCTTTTGCAATAAAATCTAGAAAAAATTTGAACTCGAGTTACAATTTAATTTAAGTTCATGTTCTTTTGTAAAATTTGAGTTTGAATTCGAATTTAAACTCGAGTTTAGGGTTAAACTCGAGTTCATAAACTCGAACTCAAGTTAATGAACAATATTTTTTCTATTTTTAAAAATGTCATAATTTTTTCGTTTTAATTCTGATTGAGATAATTTTTTTTCTATGCATTCACAACGAAAAGAGGAATAAAACATCAACCATATAGCCTATTAAAATTTGTCATCACCATTGAGTGTTTATTAAAATACTATCTAAATATAAATTTAAATTTTGACTCATCTAAATATAAACTCAAATAGATTTTCAATTTAAATCATAACTTAAATATGCACATTCAAATACAAACTCAAGTTATAATTTTAACTGAAATTATAACTCAAACTCAATTTAAAATCATCACTCAAATGATCTCAACTCAAAAAAAAAAAAAAAAAAACCTTAAAAAGTGTCCATTGGGCGCGGTTTTTCAGGGTTGCCAACTTTGACGGATCTTTAACTGTCAAGTACTTTTTCTATTTAAGTCTAAAAAAGCCAGCTGCATGTCAATGTCATGCCAATGCTTTTAGTTTGCACGTTTGTGCTTTTGGAAATTGGAAGAATTATTACTTTCCACTTTTAGCTGCAAGGGCCGCCTCTGGAAAAGAAAAGGCCAAAAAAAAAAAAAAAAAAGGTCTGTTGGAAACCGTGGGCAAGTTTAATATGAGGAAAAAAAAAAGAAGAGATGTATATCCACTGACGCCCTTTCATAGCCATCTTGAGCAGAAAGTGGAAAGTATTTCTGCATGTGCCAATGGCCATATCATGATATCGTGTTATAATAAAAGGGTAAAGCGGATTCCACAAACGACTAATTTCGAAAAGTAGAAAATATCAAAATATTATATATAAAAAAGTAGACAATTTTAAAATGGAGTTTTTTAACGGAAGATTCTTCACCGGTATACTGGTACGTTAGATTTTTTTAATTGTTAAATTTATATATTTTTTATTTTTATGTCATTTTATATATATTTAATAGTTAAAAAATTTAATCTATCGGTATATTGATGAATCAAATAATGTTCTTTTTTTTTTCATTGGCTAAATAACTTGAGTTTTTAATTGATTTGAGTTTTCAACTTAAATTTATATGAGAAAAATATTATATTAAAAAAATTAAATTTAAATTTAAAAAAAAAACATTATAACAAAGAAACTTAAACAGTAATTTAAATTAGCACGAAACTTGTTTATTTTATAGATTTAAGCTTTCAATTTAAGTTAAAATGTGATATTTTATGAAAATTTTTTATTATAATAAAAAAAATTAAATATAATATTTTTTTAAAATTTTTTATTATAAAAATTTAAAATAGAAAATTCAAGTCAGTGAAATGTGACAGAAGCATCTTCCTCGTAGACTTTAAAAAGTGTCCATTGGGCGCGGTTTTAGTCCAGGGTTGCCAACTTTGACTGATCTTAGCTGTCAAGTACTTTTTCTATTTAAGTCCAAAAAATGCCAGCTGCATGTCAATGTCATGCCAAGGCTTTTACTTTCCACTTTTAGCTAAAGAACAAATAGATGGAAAAGTCAAAATAAAAAGGATCCTTCTTCTCAAGATGGCTATGAAAGGGTGTCAGTCGATATACATCTTTCTTTTTTCCCCCCTCATATTAACAGTGGATATACACGTTAAACTTGCCCACGGTTTCTAAGTGAGGAATAATCTCTTAACTAAACAAATGAAGTATAACAAGAAGAAGAAGAGCAGAACTAAAATGACAGATTATTTTTCAGTTTGATGAACAGCAGTGAATTAAAACGCTGCGTTTTAATTATGAAGAGTAGAAACAAGTAACTTAGTGACACGTGAGTCGGTGTTATCCTCTTTTCTACTGAGGTGTATATATGTAATATTCAGAATGTTCTAGGGTTATCAATTTTTTGGGGATCTCGTGTTTGTTTCCAGATTCCAAAGAGAGAAAATTTCAGAGAGTGAGAGAGACTGTACAAATCCGGTGAGAGTCTGTACAAATCTAGTGAGAGAGAAAGAATCTGTAAAGAGAGGTTTACTCTGGGTGTTTCTTTGTAAATATTGTGTGATTTCTTTGGGTAGTCTCCGGGAGAATGGGATTTGCCCTAGATGAGGGTTGTAATCTGAGATCTAAGTTGTACTCTTCTTCGTATTAGTGGAATAGCTCTTGTGGAGGAGCTCAACAGGACATAGGTCAAACATTTTGGCCGAACCTGTATAAACTCTAGTGTTGTGTATTTTTTGTTTCTGTTTTTCTTCTGATTGATCTTCTGGGCTTTTGGTGTTAGATTCGTTCTAACAGTGGTATCAGAGCCGCCGGTTAATCACCGATCGCGAAGGCTCAGAAGGTTTTAGAAGATCCGACGGTTCTTGAGATCTTGAAGAATGAGTACTGCGAAGTTTGAGCTCGAGAAGTTTGATGGTACTGGTGATTTTGGGCTATGGCGGAAGAAGCTCCGAGCGATCTTGGTCCAACAGAAATTTGCTAAGGCTCTCGGCGACATGAAAGAAGTAACAGGGACTGAAGCGGAGAAAGAGGAGATGCTGGAAATAGCATATTCTACCATCATCATGTACCTTACGGACAACGTGTTAAGGCAGGTCAACGACGAAGATACTGTTAGCGTTTATGTCCTTAGGAATAAATGTAACAATATTCTTTGAGATATTTTGACTATTAATAAAGATTTGTTTATTTTATATATCTATGTATTGTCCTCTTTATGTTCATAATAGTTGAATGTATGATAAGCAAACTGAAAGTCTGAGACTGTCATTCTAAATCTTTAGGTCATGCATGTAATGTGAAGAACATGCGGAAGACAAGAATCTAAAGATGATAGTCTAATTCTTATGATCCACAATCGAGGGAATAAAGTTAGGCGCTTTATTCATGTTAAGATTGTTATGTTGTCTACTTCCTAACGGAGACGGCTTGTCTTGGTCGTCGGAGGTGGGACTCCATGGGTGGAGACATTGATATAGTTTCTAATGGTGAAATCTATATTGGATCGGACCAAAGTTGAATTGTTTTAATTAATAATTCTGTTTGAATAAAACAATTCACTTTTGACGAATTATATGTTGTCATCTTAATCCTGAGATGGATGATGAACCTGTATACTTGACTTGTATCCTTTGATGTACTAAAGGGAGACATCCTGACATTATGTAAAGGTACGCTTGCCGGCACATTGGGGGTATGGCTCGTGTATGCGTAGATTCGTTATTCATAGATAGTGGAATCCATAGCTCCTATAAAGAGTCAATGATATCCTCTTATGCATTATCAGTGGATTGGAAAATATGAGCGCTCAGCCATTGGACTACTATGTGTTATCTAATGGTTTACTGTTTGTAATTGTA